CAGGTGGCGCATCGTTTATAGCCTTTTCTCACAGCAGCTAGAATAATTCATTTTATCATTTTGATGGCGTATTGTAATCCAGAAAGGATTATGCGTTTATGAAACACATGCAAATGAAATGAAATTATATTCCAGTTTTAAATGTGCATCGTTGTTACTTACTTGTTTAGATGACAGCATACGGTGAAAATTCTTATGTGGGTCATATATTCCAAGACGTAGGCTAGAATATGTGATTGCGAAGTACAGTAAATATCCACACCGGTGCGGTGACTGACTGCCACACATTCACCTCAAAACATTAGATTCATCCGTGCTGGAGCACAACCCCACGCGTGGAATATAAATCCGCACACAGCTGCAATTGCAGGTTTTTGAAACAGAGATGGCGACAAAGAGGCAAAACTTACGGACTGCAGCTTTAATATATGCACTATTTCAGTTGTTTTTCAAAGCGCTTCAGTTGTCCTTGAGTGCGAGACTGAGAGCCAAGCGTTTGCCTTTGTGTAAGAAGTGCTGTTGCTGTCTCAGCGAGCAGAGACCTCTGACATTTGCAGAGTAAGTCTGTGCATTTAAAGGCTGGACTGCAAAATGTAAGCTTGTTTGTAATTAGGACAGACTGTCCTTTTAAGGCACAGACAGACCTTGGAGCTAACAGGACATGTCTAAATTAAATATGAATCGTATATAAGCACTAGACTGTCTCCTGTCATACTTCCTGTGTATTAGCCGAAGTGTGTCTGTAGCTTTAGCGCAAAGGCCACCAATTTGATTACAGCACGCCTACGCTTAAGATTCTTCAGCTTGTACATAACAAAGCGGCGGACTGTAAATGCACACTGCAAAAAACTAGTACATTTTTAGTTCATGCACATGCAAAACTTTTATAAGAAAAAAATTTGAATATTGCAGAAAGCTGGCATGATAAAATAGACTTTATTTTTTCAAATTGACTACTGTCATTTAAAACCTCTTTGGTGGTTTGAAACATTTCACAACTACTCCCGTATTCTGTTTGTTACAACTACTGCATTTTGGGTAACAGCATTCATTGCACCTCCTTACGTAAGTTATTCTACTTTTTATGGCTTTCAGTTAATGTGACTTATCTACAATTTTGATTTAGCTTAAAGGCAGAGTAAGCGATTTCTGGTAGCCAATGTTGATATTTGAAATCACCAAAACAAACACGCCCCTACCCCAAAAGGGTCTTGCCCCTATTTTGATAGCTCCGCCCCACATATACGTACGCAACCCAGGCAACTCACTGGAGACGTGCGATCGACAAACTAAACTCGTGATTTCAAATTATGCTGCGCTTTATGCATTTCATGTAATTTTCATTGTGTGCTGCTGTTTGTAAAATTAATGTTACCTTGACTTTATTTAAAAAAAAAAAAATGTACACCAGAATACTGAGTGCCCTGTTGGTTACAGTGTTTACTTCCTATTCAATTAGATTTTCATTAAATATTTATTTGTGAAAAATGCTTTGTCTTCTAAAGTATAAGTATGTTTATTTTACACAATTATGTGTAATTATTATTTTTAATCCATTTTCAAATGATTTCAAATTTCTTAAATATTAATTAAAATAAATAAAATTATATCGGCTTTATATTGGCCATCGGCCACCCTGCTTTCTAAGATATCTGCATCGGCTGTCAAAAAACCCGTATCGGTTGACCACTAGTTACAACAACGTAATTTTCCATGGTGAATCATCGAAAATTTGTCAGGCCGCCACGGACACACCCTTTAACAAAAACTCAAGATCGTCAAAATTTAGCATCGCTCGAGTTCTGAAAATGGCAAAAACTGCACAAAAAAACGTAAAGGAAATTCAAAATGGCTGACTTTCTGTTGCGTTTAGG